GGTGGGCGGTAGAACAAGTGGGGGATTGAGTACTGTGCTTGAACCATTTNGAGTACTGTGCTTGAACCATTTAACAAAAACCCTAGAATGGCGGCCGAGGTTGAAGACGGCTGCACATTGCGATCAAACAGAGCAACAACGGACGCGTGAAACGCAAGTGCCCCGAAGGTCGCGCGCTCACGGAAGTATTGAGATTCAAAACCTAAACAAAGCTGGAAAACAGGTCAAACAACGATTTAAGCTCATCCTCCTGAGCTTGGTCAACAGGCCATCTGGTTTTGGGAACAGTCGACACAAGTGACCTGGGGAGTAGACTACGGAGTGGTAAGTGAGGGAGTGTCTGTGTAATTGCTAGTGCACATGCATGATTCGGTGAGCATGTGAAAAGATCAGCACTAATGGTGTGGCCTGATGGTTCAGCTGATTCGATGTGTTGTATTAAAGCATACGGGGCGTCCATGCGCGGGTTTGAATCCAACAAAGGGCATTGAACTCTTCACAACTAGAGCATAACACTTCAATCTTCCAGATAATCCAGCTTGAACGAGTAACAACAGAAATTTCCGCAAACCAAAGATATGGTTAATAGCGTTATCTTCGGAAAATCGTTTAAATCACAAGAAACGACGTGTGTCAATATTCCCGAATGATTTGAGCAGTAGGCAACATACAGTGAATATACAAAAAAAGGTTTAACCGTAGCCCATTAGCACTTCAATTCGCTTCCTTCGTTTTGGATCCTTTGAATCAGTCAGGGAATTCAGACGCTTGAACTTGCCGCATGAAGCTATCAGTCAGACCAGATACGCGTTGTTACTGCCCATTACATACAACGATGCAGAAACTGAGTACTTTTGATGGTTTTCATTATTCAGGAAAACGCAAGAAAGAATTCTGTCAACAGGTCCTCACGCGACTCGGTGAATGAATAAATTGACCAGTTTCGGCCGCGCTTTGTTGTTCAACTCATTTCGGTCTAATTAAAGTCTAAATGAACCACAGTTGAATTGTTTTGCTTCGCTGTGTGTTGACCACCTTTTGAAGCAGCCGTTAGTTAAAGAGATGAAAAATACATTGGTCATTGAAATAACAACAACGTCTCCCGTTGGTGTATCAAGGTGAAAAGAATATGACGTGGTGAAACTGGAAAATAAGGCTGTCTTCGGCATAGATTGCATTGAAAGATTTGAAATATGACGATACGTGAACCATTTCCACAAGTTCTCATTGGTTGACTGACTAAGTGTACAAGCGTTGATCAAACTTGCGAAACAGGACTCCCACTTTGGAAATACATTTCAGTTTCGTAAATCATACTTTATATTGATTGTTATGGGTAAGATGCACGTGAAGTTACACAATCTTGAGTGTCATGATAGTCAGTAAATTACAGCTCAGATTTAAAAATCATTTCACACAAAACAGAATGGAAGTTCATTACTTCTATCAAATAATTTCTGTTTCATGAGGTTATTTGTGATGGTCAACGCACGCAATGTGAATAGTTTATCTCTTTTCACACAATGCGCAGGATATAAGCCGACTGATGAAAATTTGCAGTCTACGCACGTGTTGACCCTTAGCTCGAAAAAGCCGAAACACTAAGGTTAACCTTCGAAAGTTGCCCCTGAGGTGTGCGGCTCATCACTGTCACCATGCCCAAACCGGGTGAAACATTCAAGAATTTTTGGCAGATAGTTGTAGTCGAGAAGTAACGTATTCTAAACGCTCATAAATCCTATGACTCAGTACCCGACTTGTGTAAGTATTTTGATGTAAACCCAAGCCCAATTTATTGTAAACTCAACGGTCTTTCAAACAAGACATAAACCAAGTGAGAAAAAACAAATCACGTCAGAGCAAGACGATAGTTAAATCCGATCGCAGCTGAGAACGGTTGCACACAACCAATATGGAGGATAGTCCGGGCAGATTATCAACAAACTCAAAGCAGGTTACCCGTCCAATTGGCTTTGGGCCTATCTCACTGGTGGTTAACAAGCAATACAGTAGGTAGAGAAAGATGAACTATTGACCAAGCTTCCACTACATCTCATCTTACCTGTCGGAATAAGTAAGTATTTATCTCCTCCAGTGAATTAAAGGAAAAATGAACATTGAGCACCATAGTATTGTTCTCCTGCACGCTCCAACGTGGATGAAACTAAATTTGTTGAACTGATGAGGCAGTTTTTTGATGACTGTCACTCTCGAAACGTATTCGCCGCAGTCATCATTATTCACAGATAAAGGTTATTGTCTCCTTGCTTGACGTTGGTAGCAGGAAAGGTTAGGCCTCACTAAGTGTTGCTTCTTCACATTTATGCAAGTCAAGTCTAATAACGAATTCATTCAATTCGAGCCCAGCATTTGGGATTTAAATTTAATCGATAGTATTGTCTTGCGTTAGAAACAGGGATAAGTTAGCTACCTTGAAAGTGATTATAAGTTATCAAGGTGCGGAAGGTATTAGGAAACTGAAAAATACCTTTCGATGGACAAATTTGTAGACCCCATGCAAAAATCACGGGCTCGTGCTCGAAAACAGAGAACAGTAAATGAAACATTGAAAAACTGAAAGTACGACTGTTGTGTCGTGCATGTAATTTATTTCTATAAACAGATTCCAATGATGTTTTCTACTGAGCCTTTGCTATTATACAACTGATGCACCAGCAACCGCCATCGAAATTGAGAAATCATACAGTTTAATGTCACTGGACCAATAGAAATAAGAACAAAAGTGGATATTATTACAGCTATGGTGCGTCTGATGAGGGGCAATAGTATATCTAATGCCGTGAATGAGGCTCGAAATAGTTGGTAAGAACAAATACGAAGAAATACGCCCGAGGTACTAGCCATTCACAATTACCATCCCAAACTGTATAAACAGCGTGAATGGCTTATCACTGTGGCGCTACCTTGGTAACAACTGTGTTTGGTGAGTAATTTTGACCGCAATCTTTCTCTGCCTATGATTACGTTATTTACTGACCATATATTAATGATCACATAGACTGCAGTATGCACGTGTACAAATGCAGCGAAATGATCCACGATATATTGAGCAAACCTGTGTTTTTGGCTTCATTCAAATTCGTTACGGGGAAACTATGCTTCCAAGAACAAATCTAATGAAAGTCAGAATGTTGCACTAGTTTGAACAATACCCATACTAGATAGCTAATGATTACTCCTTATAATCGGTCGACAATGTTTGTTTTCTATTGTCATATCTGAACTCGAATCCTAACTCACTGAGTTCTGAGCTGAAGCATTGGGTGTGGCAAGGCGCAATCGAAGGCTCACAAGATGAATGTCTGTAGGGATATCGGACACTCTATTTAAGTTTGACCCAACAGATTTAAAGGGGATTCCAAAAATTATGCCTTTCACTTACGAAGATTTCAGTTCTTGGGAGTTCAGTTGATCCCCAAATATAATCTTTATATATAGATTATGTAAGAGTATTACAGGATCTGGTGTGATTACATGCTTTGAAATTCAACAATACACAGTAAACATACTGCGGTGCTCATCCATTCATCAAGGTAATCCAAATTTTGGTATTTTGAATGTTTTTCATGCTTCTATTGGTCTCCTGCTTGCACTCGCAGAGTTGGTTTCCTGGTTGTTTCTCTTAGCCTCCAATCAGATCGTTTTGCTCTTTAACTTGTGTCAGTTTACTGACAACTTGCTTCTCGGAGCTGAAACATATCCTCAAAACAAAATGATTCCCCTTGTGCTGTTCAGTAAGACTCTATATTTGAATGAGTCAACACAAATCAAATGGCTATAAAAAAGTAATGTTTAATTATATTTATTGTCATCTTCACTTAAAAAGCGCGTATCTTGCTTACACTAGCCAACACGGGAAAACCTAATTCTTCATGTTGTTCAGCTACTTGTGAGTGAAATTATTCTCAAAACAGTCCCGTGTATTTTGGTTAACGGGCAATGAGTGGTTAAAAGAGTTATATAACATCTCTTTTGAACCTATTTTGAACACCTGAAGATGCAATTGCAACTGCTGAGAAATAGATGAGTATACTCTTTTGCTTTCGTTTTCATTTCGAGGGCCAACATTTTATAATCCAACAACTTTTGAATGACAAGCTAATATGCCTCGCGAATTATTAGGCATTCTCTGACCACAACAATTTTAATCATCAATTGAGAGTCATTTAATACACAAATAGGAAACAATGTGTCTACTGATCGACTCACTCAACCCTTAGCGACCTACATTTTTCAGCTCTGATAAGAAAGAAGTTGATAAGATGCTTACTTAGGTACCTCACAAAATCGAGGTCCAGCAGTGTGACGCATTGTTATTTGGCTTTGAAACTGAAATACCAATAAAAATGCAAGTTGGCTAGACCACGGTTGCACTGCTTGTTGTAGTGAATAATTTGCTCACAATCGTTATATCTCCTTGTCTGATGCGATATATTCGATGCATGTGGAATTGATCGGTAATCTACGGAAGTCTTTCGATGGGTAATGGGTGCATCATAGCTGTGGCTGCCACCCCAGTGCACGGTTGAATCACAGTAAAAGTTCCCCAAATATGATCCGTTTTCTTGTTAAAAATAAACGGAGATCGACTGTGGATGTCGATGAAGCATTGCTTGAACCTGATGAGACAATCCTAAGTAGAATGGTTAGGGTAGTTGAGGTGCAATGGGTAAGTGCGGTTACCCTCAAAAACAAACACATTTGTTTAGCCTGGCAAGTGATCTAAATCTCAGGTTGATGTTGACTAAAGCAGATGACAGTCAGGCCCTACGTGAAGGTCCGAATATCGTACTCCTTAGTAAAGGTTGGCCTACTTAGCCAGGTATCTTAGGAGAAACGATGGCTAGGCGATATGACCAACTTTCGTTGGCGGCAAGAATGTATTTGTTCTCAATAACGTTCTTGTTTAACCCATATTTTATCACTTTATCCTGGTGCTACTCGGATTTGTTTGGCTAATCGCACTCATATTCGACCAGATGGGTAGAAAAATGATAGCAAACAAAACCGACGCAAGTAAGTGTACCGGTAGTCATTGTTGTTTAAATGATAAAAGAACAAAATTTGTCATAGTATACTGTCTTCCATACTGAGTTAAATATTTTGTCTGCGGGCTAGACTGGTAGGCGTGGTAAACCGAACTATGTGAAGTATCAAGCTGTGACACATTTCCGGTCATCTTTTGTTTGAAATGTATTGTTACACATCAAAGAAGCATAATAGAAAATATTCGGAGGGTTATTTACAGTAAATCTTAGCTCCGTATGACTACGCCGAAGATGTTTCCGCTAAATCGCCTTCCAGTTCACCTGTTTTCCATTCTCTTATACTTAGTCAGACATTTTATAAACTTTTGAACATTCCGACGCTGGTTCTACCTTTCATGATTTTTTCACAGCGTTGTGTTAAATCTGAATAAGTGATCTTATCATGGATTGTTCATGGTTAGATATGGAAATGAATACGTACTTTGAGTTGATTTTCCAAAGATATTTAAACCCCTACTAGGCCCTGCATACATTTGGTTCTATGTACACTTTAAATGATATGTAGGACAGCAAGAAAACTAGATTTTAGCCTAAGCACCTACAATTAAATGCAAAAAATTACTTTTACATTATCTTTGGTCCCGAATTCTTAGTAAATTTACATTCTTTTACTCCAGATACTTTTTCACGTCTCAAGAACAACGTTGTGAAAAATTCATGTACTCACCGGAATGTCACCTGCGGGCATTAATGCAATATCATGAGCTCGGCCGATCCCGGAACGTATTTCACACTCACGAAGTCTGCGAAAAAGTTTGCAAAACGAATGCTGATCAATCTTTAAAACAAAGCAGATATCTCGTCAAGCGAAACCTTGATCAGTGTTTGGATTCTTTAGACGTTGGTCACTCTTGCAAACTGTCAAGAGCGGTATCCAAATGGTACTTCGATGAAAGCGCAAATGAATGCATTGAATTTCAATATCTTGGCTGTGGTGGTAATGCAAACCGCTTCAATGAACGTGAAGACTGTGAAGAGTAAGTCCGGAATTCAACCAATCGAAGGTGCAAGAACAAACTTAATAATTGGTGAAATTATAAAATCCGTTTCATGCATTACAGGCACTGCTTCCGTCAGTCGCAACAAACAAACGTGAAAACTTTAGTCACAATATATAACAAAATGAGTTAATTTTTATTAGCTGTGGTGAAGGGATTACGCGAGTGCAGTATTTTGATGAATATTTTACTTTATGCAAACTTTTGAGAACGGAAAAGGCACTTTGGCGAAATACAACAAAGATGACCTGTCGACCTACGGTGCCTTTCTCTACAGACCTGTGGCTAGCATATGCAGGAACAGCGAGACAAACAAAACCGATTTTGTTTTATTGCTAGATGCCAGTATCCAATTCAATTTCAATAACAAGAAGTAGGAAAGTTACGAGTAAAGAGGGAACAAGTACAGTATCNGGTTTTGAAAACATTTTCATTTCTGCATGAAGTCAACTAAATACTTTAGGGTTTCATTGAAATAATCAATTCAAACCCAAAATGCTCAGATGTTGTAAGTCAAATTGCATTAAAAATAAAATTTTGTTAAAAATGGAAAAGAATGCAATGATATGCGTAATTCGGTCCAAATATTCTAGCGTGACGGTGTAACTTGTAGACCAAAATGCATTGAATGTTCCAATCAGCTCAATGGTATCATCACTTTATATCATATCTTTTACGATCGGAATTGTAAATTGTAGCGTTACCCATGCAGACTCCATCTCACAGTTGAATGTCACCAACAGCCATAAGCGGTCAGCGAACTTAAGCATCGAAGTTCCAAGTATCATGATGAATTGCTGGGTCAATCATAATTTAAGTGAGAAATGTGCTCCATACAATAAATAAACGTGCTTTTGACACCTAAACTTTGTTATTGTTATTATCTTTCCTTCGGTTATTGACCATAAAACTGGAAATTTCTCTAGCTTTTTATTTCGCTTTCTGGTTTAATTATACTGCGATTACATTGTATATCACGATACAGTAGGTAGCATGTGATTAGCTGCCAAATTTCTGAGTAAATTGCTTTTTGTTTGATCAAATACTTTAACGGGGCTTTAGACGGTCCGTTTTTCACAGGTATCACTGATGGAAGTCCCAACCCGAACGTTCGCTGTTCGCTGTCATGACAGGGACACAAAACGTACGCACTGCTGACGAGTCCCAAACAATACGAAACAGCTATCCAGTACTTCTTGTTAGTCATCATAAACATTTTCATCGCGTTAAAGTTCAAGGGGGCCTCTCCCAATATTGAAAAGTTACCTTACAGCCGGAAATAGCAGTATTTAACTGAGCCTTGCAGTTTTGAACATCATTCATGGACGTCGAGTTCACTTTGAACGTGGGATTGGGTATCGAAAATTATCTTGACAAGACTGAGTCGATTGAACCCTTCAGGCTTAACCTAGGTTGGCCTTTCATTATGGAGGTTTGTATTTGGACAGCTGAATGACGCGTTCACGGTTGGATGGAGAGGAGCGGTAACAACTGTTTGTGGATGACGGAGTGTCTGCTATCTCTTACTGAATGTGTTCAACAGACATGTTAAAGTTAGAAGATGGAACGACTGATATGATATATTTGCAATACACGGAATCCATAAATGCAACACTTTTATCTTGGCGCCATTTTCCATTTTTCTTCGTATTTATTTTTAATGAAACTTGTGTAGGAAAAATTTCGTATTTAGTCCTTTTAATTTATACTTTTGTTATTATTTTAGAATGGTAATTATGCATTATCCAGAGCTAGAGTTGGTGCAAAACCTGATGTGTATATGGACGGTGGAAGGATGAGACTTGCAGCAGAATAAAGTTCAAAGTATAAGTCAGTTCGCCTCCAAGGTGGAAGAAAAAAGTTGTCGAAACAGTTACGCAGAGAAAAGCAAGATTTGTGATAGCGTCTTTCAAGGAGTCCACATAACCAATCATAGTGATTCGCCATAACAGTTTTGCTATTGCTTCTCAAACAAGCCAGACTGTGTCATAGTTGAGATAGAATAATGTAAGACGACAAAGGCGGTGCGACCAAGCAGGAGAGCCATTGGTAAACAATCAGATCTCGTGCTCAAAGACAGTCAGAAAGGTGGCAGTAAGATGAATGAACATATTTCCTAGTATTGTACAAGAGAGTTTGCTGACATTAGAACCTTTTTATTGGTCTTGGTGGGTGGGTCTCATTGCGTAGGAGTTAACTGATTTCTGACATGATATTTATTTTTAAATGCAATTGAATTTGCTGTGTGATGTTCAACAAACGACGCTTGACAGCTGTTGAATAGTTGTTGGGACTCATTACCAGTGTAGTGTGTTTGTATCATTGTCGGGAGTGTAACAGATAACGTTTTGATAAGGAGTCACTTAGGGAGTTCTGAATCTCAATTAGAAAGTTTAAAGTCACGTTCGAGCAGAGACAGAAATGAATTATGTAATGCCGATGAATCCCATCAAAATCCAAACAACTGCATAGTAATTTCTCGCTGAACGTTACATAAGATTCTTTGTTATCAAAGCTATCAGAATTTTGCACAATCAGTGAAACATAAACCGGGACAACAACAACACAAACTCTGTGTCTGAGGGCTCTCTGGGATTAAAACAGATACATATTTGATGGTGGACACATATCGGGTATTTTAAGGAAAATTTCCGTCTAGATTTGTATTAAAATTCTTCAAGTTCAGTTTCCTCAATCAGCGAACAGAAGAAAACCAACACAGAAATCTAGTGCCACTTTTTCTTAGTTTATATTCAAACGTTTTGTACATATTTTTACTATTGCTGTTCTGCTCCTATGTTAATTTACTTTCGTACCAAACTCCACTTCCATCCTAATTTTTATGATGTAGAAAATGCAAAGTCACGTTCGTGCACAATAAACCCAACTATGGACGAACAATGAACCCCTCTCGTGCTTGTCAATTTACCGCCTGGTCTGAATGGTCCACTTGCAGTCAGACCTGTGGAACTGGTCGAAGAACAAGAAGTAGACTACGGCTTAAAACAGAGGCGCCTCAATGTCATTCCTTGAATGCTGAAATGGTGCAAGAAGAGCTCTGTCATTTGCCGAAGTGTGCAACATCTTAGAAGAGGAAATGACTTTCACCACTAAAACGTTTACAACTTTAAAACCGATTGAATTCTCACTATTATATTTAATTATAATACTTGCATAGATCACGGTAGTTCGTAAACTATGACGTAACCAAACTTTGTTTCTTCTGACTGTGATTCTACGT